TCAGCTGGTGGAGACTGAACATCAGCTGGTGTCTCTTCTTCAGGGGCCTCCTCAGCTGGTGGAGACTGAACACCAGCTGGTGACTCTTCTTCAGGGGCCTCCTCAGCTGGTGGAGACTGATCATCAGCTGGTGTCTCTTCTTCAGGTGCCTCCTCAGCTGGTGGAGACTGATCATCAGCTGGTGTCTCTTCTTCAGGGGCCACCTCAGCTGGTGGAGACTGAATATCAGCTGATGTCTCTTCTTCATGGGCCTTCTCAGTTGGTGGAGACTGAACATCAGCTGGTGTCCCTTCTTCAGAGGCCTCCTCAGCTTTTGGAGGCTCAACTTCAGCTAGGGTCTCTTCTTCTGAGGCCTCCTCTGCTGCTGAAGACTCATCTGAACGCATCTCTTCAGCAGGAGTCTCCTCAGTTGATGGAGACTGAAGCTCAGCAAGTGTCTCCTCTACGGTAGCTTCTTCAGCTGGTGGAGACTGTACTTCTTCAGAGACCTCTTCTGGAATGGGAAGGTATGCTTCATCTGAAAAGTCTTGCCCGTGTTCTGAATGTATCTGAGCATCTTTTTTGGTTTCCTCACTAAATGACGATCTGGTCATACTTTTCCGTCTAATTTGTTCATTACTACTTGTTGGTTGAGATTCAGATTTTTCACTAATAAATATCTTCCCTGAGGAACTGCGTATATACATGCTTTCCTTTGAGAAAGAACTACCTGGCCTTCCAATCACCACTATTTCTGACTCACTAAAAAATGTCTGTTGTTCCTTGTCATGTTTTTCTATGCATGGGATAATCACCATTGTCCAGTCTCCAGTACAGCTGGTCTGCTGAGATCTGTCTATTTTGAGTTGAATTGCGTGAGTGAGTGGGGGATTTTCTACTTCTTGAACATTTTTTGGAATTTCAGGGGCTGCTTCTCCAACAGCAGCTGGTTTTTCTTCAGGTAACACTGTTTCACCAAATGATCTGCTTTCTTGTTTTTTCTCTTCTGTAATACTGTCAGTCTGCAGAGAAACATCAGTCATTGCCTGCCCATGCTTTCTCTTTGTCCAACTTTTCTGAATTTGAGAAGATAATCTAAGAGAATCATATTTTGCTTTACTTCCAGGAATGTTACCAATACTATGGGTAGCTTTAGGGCCAGATGATTGTGATGTAGACAAGTGTCTCTTTTTCTCTGCTACTTCAGTCTGCTGGGATTTGTCTACCATTGGTTGACTGGGTTTTCTTCTCTTTCGAAATTCTTGCCTTCGTGCTGAAATAGGCTGATCAGGTTCATCCCTTTCTTCCATTTTGAAGACTGCTGGATTTCAATTTCATTAGTTTTCAAAAAGTACTCCACAAGAATCATGAATGTACCAGAGGGGTAAGCCTTTACCTTTCCTTCATAACGTGTTCTGTTAAACTCCTTCAGAAAAAATAGTTAATAAATGATTGCATTCTGTACTACATTCTTGTTGGATCCCACCATATTCAGTAAGCATCTTTCTTGTTTAGTCTCTGGTATGACTAAATCTCAGTTCTAGAAGTTTACCTCAAGGGTCTATGACATCACAGCCAAATCTCCCTACAAGGTTCCATTGGTGGTGGCCACAGCAATTTTTTTTTAAGTTTTTGAAATAATGTTATTGGTAATATCGTTTAATTAGGAAAATAATCATGGACAATAGCTACAAATGAGAGATCTAATGTTTGAAATATCAAATAGGCAAAAGTACTTTCTATCAGGGCAACATCAAGCAAACTCCAGTAATGTTGCTTGCTAATAATTGAGTGTTTTTGTTTGTTTGTTTTTACTTTTCTATTCTGTTCTTTGTATCCTACTATCAAATAGCTATAATTCAGAGCTTAAAATATTGCAGCTGTTTTCAATTGCTTAAAAAAAAAAAAAACACAGGTAACAGGCATGCTGATATAGGTATGTTTATATGTTTTAAACATTATTATTGCTTGAAAAACATGAGTTCTGAGATTTATATTCATGTAAGCACATTTCCTGTGTCCTTAGCTTTCAGAAATAACAAGAATCCACTGGTGGATTTACATGTAGATGTTTATGTGTAGCAAGGTTGTATTTGAGATACTTTTATTTTAAACTATTCAGAATTCCAAAAATTTTTCAAAAAAGAGAATAGTCTAGAGTCTAGAGTTTTGACAAGTGAAATAAAATGTATTTGTTGATCCAGCCATTATACACTCTGTTAAATCAACATGTCAGAATAAATTTCTCAATAAATAAAAATTTGAAACTGAAGCTTTGAAAAAGAGGAACACCACTTGAACAAACTGTAAATGGTATTATATAAAATTTGAATTTTTAATGTTTAAGGTAAGTTAAATAGGAAAGCTTAGACTTTGAAAATGCAGTCAGAGACGAGATAATAACTTATATAAACAATCCTTATGGCTATTGCCCTAGGAATAGTTTGATTCTTTAGGTTGTATTGATCCTGGAAATAGAAAAATGTTAATGAATAACTCCCCTTGTTTGACTTGTAGCTACATCACCTCAGCCAAATGAATACTTTACTTAATGAGTACTTTTACACATGCTTTGGCCCAGGCTGTCTCATGGGGGGGATCAGATGCACATTAGAGATGCCATGCTGCTTGTTCTACATCTCAACCTGTTCTGCTTTCACTCTTGTTTATTCTACTCTTTTGTGGTCTTTGTAACATTTAATGAAGCAAAGTAAAATAATAGCCATTTATCAAAACAAATGTCAAAGGTCTTCATCACACCTACTTATTAGAAAACTATGTTTCTGATCAACCTCTTTATGGTCTGGTGTCTCCTGGAATTGCATCTTTCAAATACTGCATGTGTACTTTATAGTCAAGTTTCTGACATTTCATGTAATAACTTCAAAGTCTATTTTGGGTCAATTCATAACAAGAAATCAATGTGAAAACACATTATATTAACTGGGTTAATATGAAGTGGAGTATCATTTTGGAGTATAATTTTGCTATCACAAATTAGATTTTACCAATCTTTTTGTATATATAAACTGAATTTTCAATTTCCTCTGCTTTGATATTTAGCTTGTTTCTTCTGAAAATAATAATCTGATCTTTTTTAATTGATCTTAATTATGCACCAGACTTAACATAGTAAATTGCCTTTTGCCACTAGCTTATTCATAAAAGCAAATTAGCATGCATAAATAATCAATTACAAATTTACTTGAGATTTCGATTAGAATTATGTTAGATTTCATGGAGCAGGTTCTCATCACACTTCTTAACACCCATAAATGCTCCTTTTGTCTGCTGATATAGCTAACCAACTCATCACTACTTTGATCTAACTTGTTAACATAGGGCTTCCTGTTTTGCCCCTTGTTCTGAAATCTTACAAAATTCAGCTCTCCTATTAAATTGGGCAAATCTAGTATGGGTTAAATTGATATGTTGAAGTCCTAGTCCTCAGTACCTGTGAATGTGACAGTCAGAAATAGGATCTTTGTAAAGGGAATCACGTTAAGAGAATGTCCTTAAGAGAAAAGAAAAATTTAGAAACAAAAGACGCCGAGAGAAGATGACCATGTGAATATGGAGGCAGAGACTGGAGTAATGTTGCCACAAAGCTACCAGAAACTAGAAGAGGCAATAAAGGATACTATCTAGAGCCTTCAGAGGGAGCACAGACCTGCCAAAACCTTAATCTAGGACTTCAGACCTCTAGAACTGACAGAATAATATCTGTTGTTTTTTGGTTTTGTTTTGTTTTTACTATAATAGTTTATTTTTACATCATTTTGTGCCTTTTCCATCTCAACTGTAATCCTCGTGACTTCCCACACCAATTCACCTGTGTGCCATCCCCACAGTCCCATGTACTGCCCCCTTCTCTTTTATCCCGTTCCCTAATCTACCCCCATAAAATGTCTCTGATATATGGTTGTTCGTTATTACTTTTCCTCTGATCCTTTATGCTCCTGTTATGAGTGAAATCATCAGATATATTTAAATATCTGTTGTTCTAACTGAGCTTGTCGCATTTTCTTTTGGCAGTTAAGAGAAAGTAACATCTTTTCATAGCATAGTACAGCATGCTGTACTTCTCACTCAAATACAAGAGCTACTTTCTTTAACTGTGGCCCCAGGTCTGGCTAGTTTATACAATATTTAATCCACTACTATTATCACAAAATCAGAGATATTTGCTGAAAGGGATTTCCTGATGATTTGTATTTAACTTTACCAAAAACAACATGATGGGTAGCACATAATTTTATTTATAATTGTAATGATTTTGAAGCTAAGAATTAAAGAATCAACCTAGAACAAATATCTAAACTGTGACCTGTGTTGCTTTATTCTTAACTGAATAGACCAAATAAGATGAAGTCTGAAAAAAAAAATTCAGTGAAAGGGTGGATACAGAAGCCATAACAGTCTAAAATTTCTGTGTATTAAGAATTAATGTGATGAAAACTAGGAAATTAACTGCAAAACCCCACACAAAGAATTAGCTATGCAAAATATCTTTATGTAAAAATATCTTAATATTAAAAATATTTTAAAAAATTAAAAAGAGAAAAATTAACAAAGAACATAAATGAAATTTTTCAGAAGGAAATATATAGAACAAATCATGTGTAAATTTAGTTAATAATTTAAAATAATGCCCCAATCTTCCAAAAAGAGGGAATGTTATTAAATAAATTCTCTGCTGTTACTGGCAAGAATTTGAGTTCATATAACGAAAAGTTTTAAAAGCTTAAAAACAAAGTGACAGTATTCCCTCTTTCTCCATTTTTGGAAGTGTTTGGAAAGGACAGATATTAGCTCATCTCAGAAAGTCTGGTAGAATTTACTAGTGAAATCATTTGGTCCTGAGATTCTGTTTAATTACTATTTCAGTTTCCTTGTTTGTAGTTAGTCTGTTTAGGTTTCCTATTGATTCTTGACTGTCAGAAGATTGTATGCTTCTATGAATTTTCCCATTTCTTCTAAGTTATTCAACTTACTGGCATAAAGATGTTTCTAGTAACATTTTGAGGATCCTCTCTATTTCTGAGATATCTGTGGTACTTCTCCTTAGTTTCTAATTTTGTCAAAGTACCAACTTTTGGTTTCATTGATTTTTGGACATTCTTTTTAATTCATATTTCATTTATTTCTGTTCACATTTTTATTCTCTCCTCCTGATAGTGACTTATAGTCTAGTTCATTATTTTTTCCTAGTTCCTTAAGGTGTAATGTTAGGGTATTTATTTGAAATTTTCTTATTTTTTTTTTTTTTTAAGATTTATTTATTCATACAGAACTGGGGTACAGGCCAGAGGCTCAGGGACGGTGAGAGGCTTCACCAGAGACAGAGTGGGGAGCAGAACAGGCAGATTGACGAAGTACACTGCTGAGGGGAGCAGCGGGCGGGTCAGGAGAGGTCTGGCTCGCCATGTGGTCTCCTCCGGGGCAGGCGGCAGGCGGGAATCGAACTCATGCGGAAGTGGCTTCAGATTCTCAGTGCTGTGCTTTAACCCGCTGCGCCACCAGGGAGGGCCGAAATTTTCTTATTTTTTAACTTCGACCTGAATCACTATCTTCTTGGTATAGTTTTAACTGTGCTCCATAAACTTTGAGAGCTATGCTTTCATTTTTGTTGTCTCCAGGTATCAAAGTTCCCTTTGATTTCCTCACTAACTCAATATTCATTCAGTCCCCACATATTAAAGGTTTTTCACATTCTTTCTTTGTCATTTATAGTTTAATAAGATCAGAGGCAGTACTTGATATATTTTGCATCACTGTGAATTTATTGACACTTGTTTTGTGATCCAACACGTAGTGTGTCTGAGTTTTGTTTTAACATTTTGACTTGCTTTTATGTGTGTCTCCACCTTTTTTATTTTATTATAACAACTTGAACTCTAAACCATATAAGAAGATCAAATTTTCCACTTCTTTATGGTTAGATTCTGGTGAGTTCTTTGCTCCTGGTGATGTCATATTCTCTCAGTGTCCCAAAGTACCAAGTGGTGCAACTCTTGTCAAAACATTATGCTGCTTTAGATATAAATCAAAAACATAGGGGGGGAAGAAAAATATTAACCAAGTAGTAACTTAGAAAAGCTGCACAGCAAAAGAAATAATCAACAAAATGAAAATGCAATCTATGAATATATAACTATATTATGTATTCATAATATCCAGCATTATATTTACATATATGATGGTATATTATTCAGGCTTTTAAAAGTAGAAAGTCCAGTTACCTCTGACAACTTGAATAAACTTGGGAAGCATAAAGCTAAGTGAAATAAACCCGACAATGATACTGTAT